TACACCCCACGATTTCTGAGGGGCAGGGTGGGGTTCACTTCGTTTGGGAGCTCCCGAGCAAAGTGAACCCCACCTTCTCTCAGAAATCGTGGGGTGTAGGGGTAGGGTTCGCATGTGGCCCCTAGAAAAAACACGCCGGCAAACCCGAATTCCGGCTTACTCGAGTCTTACGTTTCCCCGGGTTGTAGGAGGCAGCCCTCCGCCGGTCCGTCTCGTCCGCCAAGCGCTCGGCGTCGTCCGGCGAGGGCAGGTCGCCGGGCTGGTCCGTTATCTCCAGCAGCAGCACGACGATGGGCAGGGGCAGCTGGCGGGGGTCGAGGGTCGAGGGTCGAGGGTAGAGGATTGAGGGTCTAGGGTCGAGGATCGGGGGGCAGGGGGTCGAGGGTCGAGGGTCGAGGATCGAGGATCGAGGGTCTAGGGTCGAGGGTCGAGGGTCGAGGATCGAGGATCGAGGGTCGAGGGTCGAGGATCGAGGGTCGAGGGTCGAGGGTCGAGGATCGGGGGGCAGGGGGCCGAGGGTCGAGGATGACCAAGCCCTCTCGCTCGTGTCGTGGGGAGAGGCGCCACGACTTCCTGTTGTGTTGGGGCTTCTGCCTCGCTTTCGGGCTCTGGAGGTCCTCGCCAGGCCTGGTGACGACGGAGCAACTGCTCACGAGGAAAGGCAGGTCCCAGGGAGGGGGTCGAGTGGGGTCCTCGCTGCGAACAGATCGCGACGTCGGGGCTCAGGGGTCGAGGGCGCTCAAGACGGCCCAAGACGACCCCAAGACGGCCCCAAGAGGGGCCCAAGAGGGGAACCACGAACCGAAAACGCGAGCCTTCCGCCCCAAGAGGGCCCCAGGAGGCCCCGAGAGGCCCCCTAAGAGGCCCCCAAGAGGTCCCAAGATGCCGCCAAGAGGCCCCCAAGAGGCCCCAGGAGGCCCCCAGGAGGCGCAAAAGAGGCCCCAGAAGTTCAACAATGCCTCCCAAATAAGCATCTTGACGACGACCCTGTTTGGCCCCAAGAGCAACAAAAGATGCCAACGAGAGGCTTCCTCTTCCGCTCCTTCCCCTTCCTCCTCCTCCTCCTCCTCCTCCTCCTCCTCCTCCTCCTCCTCCTACGTATCTTCATCCTCCTCATCTCCTTCTCATCCTCTTCTCCTCCTCCCCTCCCCTTCCCCATCCTCATCTTCCTCCTCCTCCTCGGCGGCGCCACAATGGCCCCAGGCCAACGGCGAAGCAGTAGCGATCATGCAACATGGGCCAGCTGAATCAGCGAAGCGATTGAATAACATTATGATAACGACGATGCTGGAAAAGACAACAAGGAGTTATCGCTAAATTGCCGGCTTGACCTTCCTGCCATCCCGCCTGCATGCCGAACTTTAAGGACCAAGGTTCATGGCGCGAAGCGCCAATGCAATCTTGTATATATATATATATATACAAATGCATCCTGATACCTACGGCGCCACGCTTTCTGCAAATCGCTGGCCACCGCAATCCTCGACCCTTTTCCGGGGGGGCCATTTCTGGGACACTGTCTATGCTCATCTTGGTCGGTATTCGACGGACGCGGGACAGCTGGTGGCTCAAACCGAAGAGCAAGGCAGCCCGATTCTTCCGTGTCGCCGAATGCTTCAACCCCCCGCCCCGTCTCCATCGTGCAGCGCAACACCCCGAACGAGACGCGAGAAGGGCATGGCAAGCACCGTGGACCGATTGCGCGCCCACGCGGAGCATACGCGCAGAGGCTGACCGTGAAGGAAGCGCCACAAAAGGCGCGGCTCCGCGTGCAGTCTCAACGCACGGGCGTGGAAGGTGTCGAGGACCCTACGCCCGCAGATATGTATCAAACCCCGAATGCGCCCCCCCGCCCGTATTCTTCCGTCCTCGGCGGGAACTCCACTCGCTCTTGGTGCACCCGTGTGACGTTTGGCACTTTCCAGACACCCAGGACCCTCCCAAACGACTGCATCTCCTGGACGGCCGATTTCTGCTCCCGCCGGCCCTCCGCCGACGGCACAACGCTTGAATTCCGCCACCTTCCGCCGCAGAGGAGATGTCAACCCGTCCCTTCCTGGAGCGCCTCGTTTTGGCGGCGGCCGAGGGGCCTGAGCTGGCTAGGCCCACAGGAATCGGTCAGGAGGGGGATGGGGGGAGCCATATGATGCGCGCCAAACGAATTTCCCACCCCAGATCCGTTTCTGACTGCCCCGAGGCCCGAGAAAGGCGCCCAGAGGCTAACAAGAACAAAACACCTTCCCGAATTCAGCGCTTCGAACCTCGCCTCCCTTATATTGTTCCCATTGTGCTGAAAGACCACATCCCATGAATAATTTCGGTCCCCAGAAAATGTCGAAACTGTGTCTGTCCGACGCCCTGGCAAAAGGTCGGACGAATGCGGCCCCCAAGAGCCCGACACGGGAAAACCTTCCAATTTCGGTATTTTTCTGGTGCTCGACATTCATATTGGTCGTCACGGCTACAGTAGGTTGGCACATCGGAAGCCCCCCTGTCCTTGCAGGCCGGAACCGGTGCTGGGCCATCTCAGACCCCCAGAAGGCTCCAACCTCAACTGGCCCCGCCTGGCCCTCGTAGAGGGTCGACACGACCTGCTTCGCAGGGCCGATGTC